CCAAGAGAAAAGAAAACACTCTTAATTTCTGCTCTTGTAATACCTCGCATTAAGTACTCTCCCTCCTCCTCGTTAAGCTTATGATGTAGTATAGCTTGATAGAAAGTTACTGACTGCTGCTTGACATGCGAATCCTCAGTTCCAATTAGTTTAGAATAGAAGTCAACTGCAATTGCACCTATCTCATGAATATCAGACACAATTGAACCCTGATCGTTCCTCATTCTGGTAATTTGCTGCCTCTGTGTCTTGACTTTGACAATCTTGTGAAAGTAAAATGTGTTAGAGTCACCTTCCTGAATACAAATTAATTTCTAGTAATTTGTATTTAATTTTATTTAATTTTTTAATTTAATTTCATCGGCGACACATCTCTCCGGCAATTATGGGTCCGCCACTGGTTATAGGGTTGGCTATTTGGTCCGGACTGTTTGGTTTTACCCGAAACCGGACCGTATAACCCGGACCGGGACCGGACTGGGACCGGATAGAAAACAATTCAATCTCATATTCGGGCTTAGATTTGAGGTAAAAAACCGTTTGGGACCGGATCGAAAACTGGATGAAAGACCGGATAAGAGACCCCAACACCCAAAACTTATCCAACTCCTCACCCTTTGAGGTCTCAGGCCACTCAAATCCCTACAAGCTCAATCTAAAATCAAGACCAAATTGGGACCGGACCGGGTCAAGACCGGACTATATCCAATCCAATCTTTGGTCCTTATATTCTCGAAAAGACCGGACCAATTCGGGCCAATTTAACCGGACCGAACCGTATAGCCACCCCTAACTGGTTACATGCCATGCAATATTGTGTAACACACTACGTTTAATAGGCACCAAGACATAAAATCTTTTTGTTACAAATAATCAAAATATAAATATAATCTTGTAGTGTACTGTGTACAATTAATTCAATTTTTCTCAACATAAAATTTCAAATTTGTGTGGAAACAAATTATATATGTTTTGGTAAAAATAATTAAAAATAATTATCACGAGGTTATGTAGGTTGAGTTATTCACATGAGCTTTTTTCTTTTAATAATTATGAAATTTCTTTTAGAAAAGTACTCTATCATATTATGGCAATATTTAGTTGGTCTCATTAATTTGCAAGTTATTGGAAGTAGTTCAAAATCCAATTTTATGTCGATCTTTTTTTTCGTTGAATCTATATAGATCTTTTACCGTAATTAATTATGTATATATATTTGCAATTTATTTTTCTAATTTTACTAATCTTCATCGAGAATAAAAATGTGACCAACAACAGGTTTGGCAATGTAGTCGTGACGGTTTCCCCTTTTGGCAATGTAATTCGTCGGCGACCAATGGAATCACACAAGGCCACTGCATCACGGACAGAATTCTATATATAAGTGGGGATTTCCTATGGTAACTTTAAGTAAGGTAACTTGAATTTTTTTACCGGCTATAGCAGGTTTCACAGGTTGCATTACGTAAAATACAATAGGTATTACGTAATAGTTACGTAACGTATGGTAACCTTACGTAACAGTTGTAAAGCACCATTATGTAAGCCTTACGTAATAGACGGTTATTTTACGTAATGAATACTAGCATTGCATTACGTAAAGTGTAAGGTCATTACGGAAGCCTTACGTAACGCTGCTAATTTAACTATTACGTAATAAATAATTGTCGTATGTAACCCTTACGTAATGGAAGGTCCCTTTACGTAATGAGTGTTGGTGTCGCGTTACGTAAAGAGCTAAGTCATTACGGAAGCCTTCCGTAACGCTTCCATTTTAACTGTTACGTAAAAAATAACTATCATTTCGTAACTTTACGTAATGGATGTGTATTTTACGTAGCAGTGGTAAAAGGTCGTTACGTAAGTCTTACGTAATGGAAGGTCCCTTTACGTAATGAGTATTAACGTGGCGTTACGTAAAGAGTTAAGTCATTACGTAAGCCTTACGTAACGCTTCCATTTTAACTGTTACGTAAGAAATAACTATTGTTCCGTAACTTTTACGTAATGGATGTGTATTTTACGTAACAGTTGTAAAAGGTCGTTACGGAAGTCTTACGTAATGGAAGGTCCCTTTACGTAATGAGCAGGGGCGGACCCAGGGAGGTATAGGGGTGTCCCCGGACACCCCTAAATTTTGGGAAAACGATTATCCAACTCCCGGTGGTAATTTACGTATGGATAAAAAAAATATAATTGATAGTGAGGGGACACCCCTTAAATTTGAAAAAATGATTATCCTACTGTCATTTGTGTATAAGAATATAAGTGGTAGGTTGGATAATTTAAATCTATAACACTATTATTATTAATAAACTTAATTTTCGTTGAGCTAAACTCATTTGTTGTTCGATTTTGAACAATTTGTAATAGTAAAATGACATTCTCTATCTCTAATTATTTAGGAAAACGATTATCCAACCCCCGGTGGTAATTTACGTATGGATAAAAAAAAATATAATTGATAGTGAGGGCACCCCTTAAATTTGAAAAAATGATTATCCTACTGTCATTTGTGTATAAGAATATAAGTGGTAGGTTGGATAATTTAAATCTATAACACTATTGTTATTAATAAACTTAATTTTCGTTGAGCTAAACTCATTTGTTGTTCGATTTTGAACAATTTTTAATAGTAAAATGGCATTCCCTATCTCTAATTATTTTAAAAACCTAACAATTAAACTAATTTCAAACTAACCTTAATTTGTATTGATTTTATGATTGTACGGCAAATGTTGAAAGAGTCTTTCAGCTTTGGGTTACATCAAGAACAAGTTTACAAATAGAATATGCGATAAGTTCGTGAATGATTGTCTAGTAGTGTATATAGAGACAATTTTTTTAAACACTATAGACACCAAGTGTATTCTACAATTAGTTCCGAATATGAAAACACATCATGGACTTTTTTTAACCTGTACGAGTAAGGTATTTTCATATTTAAAATTTTATTTTTATTAATTAATTATTTTTATTTAATTTATTTTTTAAAAGAGGACACCCCTATAAAAAATTTCCGGGTCCGCCACTGGTAAAGAGTATTAACCTCGTGTTACGTAAAGAGCTAAATCATTACGAAAGCCTTAACTTAACACTTACGATTTAACTGTTACGTAAGAAATAACTTTGTTACGTAACCTTTACGTAATAAATGTTTATTTTACGTAACAGTTGTAAAATTTCATTACGAAAGTCTTACGTAATGGAAGGTCACTTTATATAATGAGTACTAACTGCGTCTAACGTAGAAAGCTAAATCATTACGGAAGTCTTACACAACGTTTTCTATCTAACTATTGTGTACGAAAATAACGCGAACATTGCTCTATCCTAGTGGACAAAATGTTAATCATTTCACCGTTAATTAATGTTGCAGGTTCAATTCCCAGTAGTGTTACTTTTTACCTTTTATACATTTTCTTAACTTTAATGATAGTTTTATCAACTTAACTTAATAAATTAGACCTTTTATACATTTTCTTAACTTTAATGATAGTTTTATCAACTTAACTTAATAAATTAGTTTTATGAAGTTAATTTAACAATTTAGCCTCACTCTTTATTATACATTTTAGTTTGCATTATAAATTTGCCAAGCAAATTTAATGAGTTAGCTGAAATTGATGAATTAGTTTCTCATCGCTAGTTTTTAGCATTTTCAATCGATGTTTAAAGAAAGTTCCTCTGAACGAAAAATTGTGGTCATGTTTCTGTTACATACTGTCAATTTAGCTTGAATGGTTGATATTATGATATTCTCTATTTAAATCTAAGGTGCCAGTTATTGTAAACTTAGAATAAGCAAAGTCGAAAACTATTTCTTTCATCTTCAGAAGTCCTGTTGATTTTAATAACGCGATTTCTTATTTTCATTGTCATTAGCAATTTAGCCTCACTCTTTATTATACATTTTAGTTTGAATTATAATTTTGCCAAGCAAATTTAATGAGTTAGCTGAAATTAATGAATTAGTTTCTCATCACTAATTTTTAGCATTTTCAATTGATGTTTAAAGAAAGTTCCTCTGAACGAAAAATTGTGGTTATGTTCCTGTTACATACTGTCAATTTAGCTTGAATGGTTGATATTATGATATTCTCTATTTAAATCTAAGGTGCCAGTGATTGTAAACTTAGAATAAGCAAAGTCGAAAATTATTTCTTTCATCTTCAGAAGTCGTGTTGATTTTAATAACGTGATTTCTTATTTTCATTGTCATTAGCAATTACTTGGTTCTATTAGAGCGATATGGTTTATTTTTAATTTATCTATTTGATTGGTACATCCAACTGATATGATGTAATTTTACCAACATTATTTACTATCTTTGTCTCGCTATCTTAGTTGGTTGTATATTTTTCATGAACATGATAACTGTGTATAATGTATCTATCATTTGAACCTACTTGGTTTTATCGTCTTTAACTATTAATGGTTAACAAATGAACGTACAAAAACAAATTGATTGAGCGAAAGACATATTTGAGCTGGATGTGTGGGCTTGACCAGTTCGAGTGTTTTATGTCTAAACGAGCAAGTTGGTCGGTTTTGGATTGTGGTAAGTGATTGTAAACTTAGAGTAAGCGAAGTCGGGAACTATTTCATTCATTGATTAGAAGTCACGGGATCTCACTGACCGGATAACGAGTCAGCATCTTGGGGCGAAGCCTCGGGTTAGGAGATGGGGGGAGCATTGTTCCAACCATGTATGCATGGCTTAATCTATTTTGAGTTACAAGTCAAACCGGTTTATACATTTGTGCTGGTTTGACAAGTGGTACAAATAGGGCTTTCAGTTCGGTTGCCGGTTAGCGGCTAACCGGCTGATCGAACCGGTAACTGCCGGTTAGCGGCTAACCGGAAACCAAAAAAATGGGTTACGGTCAGTTGTCGGATGCGTTCAGTGGTTAGGCGGTTAGCCAAAAAACCGAGGCCGGTTAACCGGCTAACCGACGCTAAACGACCCCGTTTTGGCCTAAATAAAACCACCCACCTCCCTAAACCCTAGCAGTTGTGAACAGCCCCATCCTCCTTCTCCCCCATCCTCCCTCCGACGACGACTCCGGGCGCCATCCCCTGCCTCCTCCGCTACCCCTCCTTCCACCGCCACCACAACTTGCCGCCCGTGCCCCTCGCCGCCCTCCCATGCCTCCGTCGCCGGGCGCCTTGTCTCCTCGCCGCCGTGCGCCTTGCCTCGCCTCCTCGTGCCTCGCCGTCTCGCCGCGCGCCTCGCCGCCCGTCGCCCCTGAAGATCTGTTTGCATGGCCCATGGGAAAGAAGGTGAGAGAAGATTAGAAGAAGAAGGAAGGAGAGAGAAGAAGTCTGTTGGTGGGAGGAAGGAGAGAGGAGTAGGGATGGCAATGAGTCGGGTTGGGGCGGGTTTTGCCAAACCCGAACCCAAACCCATGGGTTTGTCCGTCAAAAAAACCCGGGGTAAAACCCGCTGGGTTTGAAAAACTCAAACCCAACCCAACCTGCTTGGTAATCGCGGGTTGATGGGTTACCCACGGGATTTTGGTAAAATATTTATAAAATAATAATTAACAAGAAACTATTAAAATAAAAATCAGCGGCCAACACATTCACGTGTCATCATGTTAACAACGAGTTACCAAGTTTCTGTACCGCTCACAAAATGGAGATTGGCCTGAAATTTGCGGGAGTTGCTTTTGCTTGTATTTCTCTGACCAATTTCGATTGTACCGCTTGACTGGAGTAAAGTAAGTGCTCACACGGGGACTCAGCGCGCACAGTGCTGCTGAAGCCAGAACGGCATCGAGTTTAAGCAAACGCTTTTACTTTCGACACGTGTCTCAAGGCCATTGGTGTTACCTCCCGCTATCGTCGTCATCATCAATCCTTTTTCTTCTTCCGCTTGTTGATCGTTCGCCGTCCCTAGGTCACGGCTCACGGGGCGGATCTAAAACAAAATTCCAATCCCCCTCATTCCGTTCCACCACCAAACGGCCTCCATTCCCCATTTTTATTTTATATACAGAGGAAAGAATACAACTTTATCTTTCTTTCTTTGGCCTTTTTATTCTACTTACATGCATGCCAAATCCGATTTCCATTGTTGCGGTGGTTGAGATCCGGCGAGACAAGTTTCGTCGGGTTTCGTCCTTTTTGCGCCTGTCTGCTCCAGACAAGCCAGACCCTTTCTCTTAATTGAAGAAAACAGATCCTCTGCACAGAAACAAGATGAAGGGGTCCTGCACACTCGTGGCGTCAATGATCGCTGCCTTCACCGTGGCCCTCTCCTCTTCCTCGTCCACGTCGCCAACTCTCAGTGTCTGGCGGCGGAGTCGACGACGTGAAGGAGTTGCTAAGGAGCAGAGCCGGAGAGGGTGTCAGGGCAGAGGAGCAGGGAGAGCCGGAGAGGGCGCGGCCGGTAATGGTGTCGGAGAGGCGGAGCCGGAGCAAAGTAAGAGCAGGGGGAGGGCGGCCGTCGGATTGGGAGTCGGGACTGGAGATGGAGAAGAGGAGTCGCGGTGCCGGTCTCGCCGGAGAGGAAGAGGAGTCACACTGTCGCAGAGAGGAAGAGAGGAGTCGCGCGGAGAGGAAGAGAGGAGTCGCGCCGATTAGGGATTGTGATTGCCGATTAGGGTGGGAAGGGAAGTGGGCTGGGGAGTGGGGGACGGGTAATTTAGATTTTAGGGTTATGTCCGGGTATCCACGGGTCGGGTTTCTCCAAACCCGAACCCGCCCCAACCCGCCCAACCAGCCACCGGGTTTAAACCCGAACCCGGCCCAAACCCGGTCAACACGAGTTTTATTCGGTTTGATTGGGTTGGGTCGGGTCAGGTACCCGCGGGTCCGGGTTGAACTGCCATCCCTAGAGAGGAGTAGATAAGGAAGGAGTGGTGGAGTTTTTTTTGTTTTATTTTTTTTTTTTTTTTTGGAAAATGTTTTTTTTTCGGTTGGCCAGCTAACCGAGCCTAAAACCGGAACCGGCCGGTCGGTTTGCCGGCTAACCGTGGCCTTTCTTCGGTCGGTGGTCGGCAGCTATGGGGAATGTCTCGATTTAACCGATAATCGGGTTTTCGGTTTTTGGTTAAACCGAAACCGACCGACTGCCACCCCTAGGTACAAATATGTTTTGTCGGTTCATGCTGATTTTAAAAAATGTGAAAATGATTATTATCCAAACTATTTAATCATATACAAAACATATTTGTAGATAATTTACTTACAATCCAACCAATACAATCAAATTTTAACTATTAAATTCCAAAAACGAATAATAAATTAGCTTGTTTATTAATTAAATTCATGAAAACAATGTTTTCCATAGAAATTATAAGTCTATTATTCCGGTCATACCAGTGGTGTCACGCCGATTTCATTAGTGACACATATTAACCAGGTTCAACCGGCCGCATCATTTTGGTGTGAGGTGATTTAAAAAAGTAAAAAACAAATTCTTGCTGCCGTTTTGTTGTACCTGTCCACCTGTGTCTTTCCTTTTGTTACCGTTTCACTTTTGGGGAATTTACCCACTTATTTCCAACTCCATCAAATGAAAAAATAAAGAATGTCAATCAAAGTTGAATCTTCTCTATCTCCTTCGTACGAACCCTAGCTCTGCATCACTAGTAGTCACATTGAATCTCATCATAAGGTCCTCCAAAAGATTCAACTTCAATTTATGCTTCTTCAAGTGCAAGAGTTCACCAAATCCAATTTCTTCAATGGCCTTCTTTTTTCAATCACATAAATTGTCGATGAGCTCACAAAATTGGTGTACGCCACAACGGCTACTCAAATATACCTATTTCAATCAATGCCAACCAATATTCAAATAAACAAATTTCCTATGAAATTAGAAATCAAGCAAATAAACTAATTTTATACATAATATCAAAACAAAATCACCAAACTCAAAAGCTTAACCGTGAGTACAGTAGTCTTAAAAAGACCACTAGTTTTTAATGGATTACCTTTTTCTTTCTTTATTGATTTTCATCATTAAGTTCGGAAGAGACTCCTTCGTCGATCTTACTCATCTTTGAACTAGACATAGCAGAAATTAAATTTAAACTTTAATAAAAAAAGTACGATGATGAGTAACAATGCAAAAAAGGTTGGGTTACGTTTCATATTGAACATAAAGCTTGCAAATCCCCCTTCATACTTACGTATAACTTGCAAAAGCTTTTTAGTTTTATTATTATAAAGATGATCCAAGTAAAGAAGTAATATGAGTAGAATTAACAGGAAAGGTTGATTAATTGGTTTGTAGTATAATGAATTCACCTCCAAAGTTTCTTCCCGCTAATTTCCACAAAAATTTTGTTTGTGGCTCTTTGACCAGCTGTAATTAATGGCCTTCTCTACAATTTTAAATATTGCACAGACACCAACATACCAATTTATTTTAACAAGAAAGATTGATTATCAAGGGTGCTAAACCTGAACCCTAAAAAGACACCAACATACCAAGTAATTACATGAGGGGAAGAACTGTAGGTTAATTTTATGGAAGAGGGAGCATCGTAATTACCTTCCTAGTTCCCTTTACCGCAGTTCTTTCTTCCTTTTCTTTTATCCAGCTTGTAGCGACGTCAGCCAAAGAGATTGAGCAAGCACCTCCAGCGTCTAATAACTATCCAGCATGCAACCACAATTATCACCACGCTGCGGCTGCGATCTCAGTACGTAAGCGAACGCCGGAAGGGATCCTAGCCAGTCGATTTCCGACGAAGCTCGATAAACAAGGACGGTACAATCATGACCGTGGAAGCAAGTGCACGCTGGGAGTGATCCAAAGCAGGCGATTGTCGTCGACTTGATGAGCAAGGATACGTACAGCTACGACGGCGGCCGGAACGAAGATGAAGCTTGAGATTATTTAGACTCGGGACTGCAGATTAAGCAATAGCTTAGTTTGGCCCTGCGGTAGCTTTTGCAGAAGCAGCTTCTGACTGGAGCTTTTAGATAAGTACTTAAAAAAAAAGCAGTTGAGTGTTTGGCCCTGCGGTAGCTTTTGCAGAAGCAGCTTCTCCCTGCGATTACACTTGGTCGCAGTTTGGTGTTGTGTTTTAGCGTGTCAATGAGCCTACTCATCTGTTCGCTGTCGTTTGACAAACACGCAAGGGAAGCCATTTTCATCTGAATTTTTGATCATTCACCTTTACCGTCATTCGGTCTCACTTGCTCTTGTCAAAGGAGTTCAATTATGGTTTTGTACGTTTTCGATTATCTTACAAAACAAGGAGAATCATCGCCAGAGTCTCGTGCTCAACTCAACCAACATGAATATCTATTTGAATACTTTGAAAAATACAAGCAGAGCATGTATGGCATCGTACAAGGTCAGCACAATCCCTTTACAGTTTATTCACACAATCCCTTTACAGTTTACACTTATTAGTGAGAAATTACAGTAAAAGCTCATCAATCTTCAACTCCATGAATGAATGCTTCAAAACATAATTAGAAGTTGATGTTCGAACCACAACGTTGAATATCTAGATCCTTCGACGCTGCACTCCTCGATCACCGTCAGAGCAAATTCCCCACCCAACAACGATCTTATTGAAGGACGGTTATCAAGGATAACGACCAGGGGTTGGTCAGGTTTTTAAGGATCTAGATCTGGACGAGGAGGATGATGAATCTGGCTAAATCCCTTCCTGTCGCTCGCACTCTGCTTTTCCCATCTTAGATTGGTGCCCGCCGCTCTCGCTTGTTGAGGTGATTGCGGAGATGTCGATTTGAGGGACGGCAACAACAATGAAATCTGAAAACGCAGAGAAGAAAAATCCAATTAATTAGCCGATAATAAACTGAATCGTAGGAAAAAAATGATATTTACCTGTGAAATCCCAAGGGTCGTGCTTATAGAGATTGATTTCAGCGGTAATCCTAACAAAAATCGGCTGGGAGGCACAATTCAATAGTTGAAAGATTTACGGTATAGAGCCATACCTTACTAATATTTACGTGTATTAGGAATATGGAAATTCTATAAATGGTTGATTGTGTGCGCCATATAAAAGTATGATAATAATGTGGGCTTGGTACTCCTACAACACAAAAAGTACGGTCATATTTTCACCCAATAGAAGAATTCGAGATCATTTTAAAATTCGCATACAAAAATCATTTTGAAAAAAAAAATTATAAACAGAGAATATTCAGAACTTTACATACAATCAAGCTACTGATAAAAATATATACACACGTACATAAAGAACTCGAAACCTTTTGTGGAAAAACTATAAACAGACATACATATATACACACAATAATATTTCATTAACGTACGTAAACAGAAATCCATTAGACGACTACTAGTTGGGGGTTGCTAGCACAGCCTGGGACTGGCGTTCGTAGCGAAACCCATTAGCCTTGGAATCATCAGCCGACCAAGCAAAAATCCCCTGGAGCTTCCCCTGTTTCTTCAGCCTGTCGCACGCCTTAAAGAACCCATCCGAAGGGGATAATCCGCCGCTCCCATCACTAATGAAACTCACCAACACCTTCCCGCCATCGTAATTCGAACTCTGCTCATCATAATACTTTAGAAACTGGTCTACACTGGTCCCCTGGTCGTAGGCGTAGAACTGGAAATTCACATAGTCAATCGCATTCCCATACTTGTTCCACAGCGCCTGGTAATGGCTCTGCACCTCGGGGTCGTCAAATGGAGCAATCGACGCAAACGAGATGACCCCATTGCTCTTCAGAGTGGTGATCAGCCGGCCGATGCACTCGGCGAAAGTGTCAGGGTCAGATTTGAAGTGCTCGTAGTCGATGTCGATGCCGTCCAGGTTGTACTTCTGGATGACAGCGGTGAGCGAGGTAACGGCGTTGGAGACCCAGGAGTCGATGGATGACGGCGTGAAGTAGCAATTGCCGTTGGAGACGCTGTCTCCGCCGAGGCTGAGGGCGACCTTGATTTTGGGGTTTTGGGATTTGACGGAGGAGATTTGGGAAGCGCCGAGGTTGTCGGTGTCCCAGAAGACGTTGAATTGGCCGTTGGTGGGGGATGGGGAATCGGAGGTGTCGTAATCGATGGCAAAGGCGAGAAGGAAATGGAAGTCGACTTGTGGGTTGACTGGGACGTCGGTGAACTTGACGTTGTTGAACTCGGCGCCTATGTATTCCCGGAAAAGGTCCGCGGTGGGAGCAGCGAGGTTGGGCAGAGCTTCAAGGATGTTTATTAGCAGGAAGAGAATCATGATTTGCTTCGCCATTTTGTTTCTACGTTTTATGTGGTGTATTGATGATGAAATGGAGGTTTGCTGGCTGCCATACTATTTATATGGTTCTAGCTACGTTTTGTGATATGGTGGTAAATAAATTTAAGGTAGCTAGGTTGCCGTGAACGTGATGCGATATTTCTTTGACTTAGAATCTTAATTTATTGGTGTTTACAATGTTTTGGGTGGAACGCTAAGATTTCTTATCTAAAACATTTTATGTGGTTGAATCTAACCTTGTTCACTAGTGAAATCCCTCACACTTTTTTTTTTTTTACAAAAGATAATCATATATTGATAGACAAAGAGATAGTTCAGTCCTAGAAATCAGTCAGGCCTGAAAATCAAAGAAACGACACGCTGTTGGATACAAAGACT